GTTAGTCCCTCCGGTAATTTTTAGTTGTTCTATTCTCTCAACTTTTTGTAATTTAACTTGATGTATTGTAAATGAATAACAATTAAAAAAAATTAATCTAAGTGAAAATATTCAACAAGAACTACAGCTAGAAAGAAGAAAATTTTCAATTTTTATCTATCTACTATATAAATTTATTTAATCAAATTTTATTAAAAAATCCAAATAAAACAACTAAATCGAAAGGGAACGAATATATGGGTCCGGGCCCTACAAATTATGAGTTTCATGTTATCACAAGTATGCATGTTTGAGTTTTGAGTTTTATGTGTGGTGTAGGTTCAAATCTCGTGCTCCGAAAACGTCTGCCGACAGTCTAGAATACATTGTTAGTAATAAGAAATTTTTCATTAATTACCCCTTTAAAAAAAAAAAAGGGAGGCATCCAATTATGTTCTTCATATGTTTCTTTCTACATTCTTTTGACATGGAATAATAATCAATGACCTACACAAATTTACGTTACCGTACGTGTCCTCTTGAAAGTTTGATTCAGCAAATAAGTCAGACTTTTATCTCCTGCAAAAAAAGCATTGATTGAAAGAGTTTCTGGCTGACTTTTAAAGCAGACGGTGAGGTAATATCTACGAGTTAGCTTACATATGTCATAACAAGGTTTGTCCTTTTGAGTTTAAGATATATGGTATGCACATAAAGTAAGTTAATGGATAAAAAATAATTATTTTTTATTATATAATTTTAAATAAAAATAAAAATAAAAATTCAAAAGATTTACCTTCCTCAAAAAATTGAATCTTCTCTAAAATATGGTTCACTTTAAATCAAATAAATGTAAAAAACATATGATCTTTATTTTCAAATTAACCAAGGATGTGAGAAAAAAGAAAACTAAAAGTGTTTAAGGCAGTGTTTCAAGTGATTAGGAATTTAAGACTCTAAATTAAAGATCTTGAATTCAAATTTTGAGGCAGATAAGGAGAGATAAAGGAAGGAAGGGCTATATCATATTGTATAACACATTATTTAATTGAAAAAAAAAAAAAAACAGAAGGTAAAGAAAACCGATGGCAAAAAGAAAAATGTGGTAAAGAAAGCCAAGCTAGCAATCAAAGAAGGCAAAACCCCCAAATTTACCTCTCAAAAAGGTGGATAGGAATAAGAATAAATTGTCCCTCTAAATTATAAATCAAGACAAATCATTCGAATTTTTAACAAATTTTGTTTGACACGTAAGCATTTTAACAGAAAGTTAACAGAATTTAGTAAAAAATGGGTGATTTGTCTTGATTTATAATTTGGATTGACAATTTATCCCTGTAATTTTTTGAGAGATGGATTTGTCCCCACTCACCTTTTTTAGGGGTGGATTTTGGGTTTTGCCATCAAAGAACTACACTTGCCCAAGACATCTGGGGACAAAATCGTCCATTAAAAAATATCTATTAGCAATATATATCACCCATTATATATAAATAGAATTTTTAACATGTATCTTTAAGTTGGATGTATTATTATACTTTTTATTATTAATTTATATAAAAAATAAAAGTTAAATTTGAT